AGATGTAGACTTGCTTCGCTATTTTTTCACTTCGCAAATCTTAGTTTGAGACATTGACCCTCGGCCAGGACTGCAATCCAACGTTTCGAAAATATAAGTGTTTTTAATAATAAAACTATGATTTAATTTCATTTAATACTTATAAAGCTTTTAAGCTATTAAATTGAATATTAAATTATATTATATTATTATTTATAAATATCCATGAAATTACTCGAATAATTCTGACTAAACTAGCAATTAATAATACCAAAATTATGTCATCGACTAAAACCGATAAATTATATTAATCAAATTTAACTAGTGGTCTATCATCAATATTTCATTCTGATTGGATGAGATACTTCTAGGCTATAAGTTCTAACCTAGTAGTAGCTATAGTTTCGAAAACCAAAACATTAAACTTAACTTTAATTCAAAGATTGTTTGCATCTATTCATTTTATCGACGAGCTGGATTTGACTAAAACAATTAGTCGTCTCTTCCTCATGGGCTATGAGTCGATAGCCCATTCTTCCTTTTTCAGTCATGGGCTATTGACCCATAGCCTATTCAGGCTCGAGGACTATTGCTAATTATACCGTAAGTGTATATATATGATTAAAGTTCCTAGATGAATTCAGATCATCCATCTGAAGCAGTAATTCCCAGGAGATTATATTTCTCTAAGCCTTGCAGAATCAGGTCATTTTTGCTATAATTGGCTAAAATTTCATACTCGAGTTCTTTTTCATCATTTTACTTGAAGACTGAGAAAAATAATGAAACTAAAATAGAGTTCATTTTGAGAAGAAAAAATAGGAAAAATACAAATCTCACAAGAAATCTCTATTATGGACTAACGATACTACATATAAACTTTATCAACTCACCTATATATAGCAAATTCTTTGTTTCCTATTAGTCCTATTGGATATGAAACCTTTTTTCCTATATATTGTGTCTTTCAAAAATATAATAAGCAAAAGCAACGTGGATGATTTATCCCACCTGTAATGATCAGCCTGTTCAGCTTGATTTGTTCAGTTTTAAAATTGGTCCAGATTTGTTGTCGTAAATATAATGAACTGACATTGACCTATCGATCGAGCTCAGTTACAAATATCAAATATTTTCAAATTAAAAGATAGTTTGACGGCTTTCTCTGATCTGTTTAAATTTTGTCAACAAAAGTTCGACATCTTATTACAACCCCGGATAATCTATGAACCTATGAATCTAGGAAGATTGCTTTTGTGACCCCATAGTTTTTTTTCCTGAACAAATACCAGACTTCGCGAAATGCGATTAATTTAAAATGGGAATTTCCAGCCCATTTCTGAATTGGCTGAACTTGCTTGGGGTCTTTGAGACAAATGGATGGTTTTTAATCATGCACAACAATAAAATGTGGCGGCAAATATACGAATCTAAATATGTGTTATTTTCCCTCTTGAAACATTTCATATATCCGCGAAGGACCCTCTGAAAATGAAATGAAACGAAGGCTCGAAAGATTGGATGAAAACACGTCAAAAGCGTACATGAAAAACAAAATTCTTGTTTAATTGCCGAAACTGTTGTTGTCATGTTATCAGGAGTAGAAGTAAAATACGATGCATTTACAGGAAAAAACTAATTTTGGTTATTTTGCATAGCAAAGGGCTCACGGGAAGTTTACATTTAACCGTTCGGAAAACTGCCGTTTCTTGCCGTGGACATGATTTCAATTACTCTTTGCATGTCTTTTTGGTGTCTTCTCAGTTCTATATCCTCTGTGACGTAATAGARAATTAAGTTCTACCTTGCGGCTCTTCGTTACGTTTTACGTTCTTCTTTCTTTGTTACAAGAGCCCATTTTTTTCTTGAACAAAAATAACTAAAGGTCACGTTGCCTTACAAAAAGCTCACTCGAACAAACACTTTAGAAGAGCACTTCCTATTTTAAAAGGGTGCAAAAATGGATCGACAAAAGCACGAAAGATCCGCGTTGAGCTATAAACCTTGCATGGGGGAAGGCGATTGATATACTTAATTACTTTGAATTGAAAAGTTTCTCATATTATGTAGTTTCCGGCATATTTGACTTACTTTTTTTTCTTTATAAACGGTAGAATCGAAGCTGGAAGCTTTTGGGAATTTGTTTTTGATGTGGTTTTACTTAATGCTCAATCCAATATTCATAACAGACAATTAGTCTCACATGACTTGATCATTTTTACCAAGGGAGAAATGCCGGCCCAATAACCGGAACGAAAAGCCCTCGTGGCATTTTCAAGGGAGAGCACAATACATTAAACAATTGTATTAACTTACATATGATACCCACACCGTAAAGAGACCAARACTCTGCCTGAGTATATTTCCACGAGCTTTTTCGTCAGATATCATTAAAATTTGTAGTGTAAAACTTGACGGACATCTTCAGTCACTGCGAAGTCGAATTTATGTGAACGGGAAAATCTTAATGACTTTAACTGATCCATTAAGCTAACAAGAGCTAAATCGCCCAATTTCTTCAAATCAAAGTCAAAAAGAAAAGCAAAAAAGTTAATGGTTATTTGACATTACAGTCAAAAAAATATTCATTTTCACATTGACTTCCGGCCATATATGGCGTACTCTCCGTAATGGAATATCGGCAATATTGTCTGACGCTGAACAAAACACACTAAAAATAGGAGTAAGTACTTAAGAGAGACCTTCCAATACAAAACAGTTTATTTGTGAAGTATACGATTGATGCACCTCTATGATATAACAACAGATAAAGTGAGAGCGATAGATAGGAATATCATTATCACTGATGATTTTGGCAAACGTTCGAGCTTGGATTTTAAAGTTTTATGGCGCAGCTGTAACATGAAATTATTCGATCATCTTATGCTGTATAATGGAAGTCATTAATATCATCAATAACTATGAAATTACCCAAGATTTTAAGAACAGTGTATTGATCAACGTTTGATTGAGTACCTTGTTTTTGATCGATCACCTCCAAATTGACGAAAATGTTGCCAAAGCTCTACAACATCGCAACATAAGCATCGGTAGTCGTTAGTGTTTCTCAAGCAATCTACTCCGAGATAGTAAATTTTTATGATGCGCTATCCATTCATAGGTCAAGAGATGTTATCTAGCGACGACTGAGCCAAAAAACCTGTTGAGCTTATTATAAAACTTTGATACGTGATATTTAAGTCTACACTAAGCCCTCTTTTCTTAAGCTCTTCAAGTATTGTAGACAAGACTTTTATTCAACAGGCAGACAGATAGCAAAAATTTCAACCAAAGAAAGAACTTAAAAAACCCCTTCCCTAAGGTGTCAAAGCTAAGTGGTTCGTTCGCTATGTACATCCTTGATAACACTATTGAAAAACAGCATGCTATCGTCCTTTAAGTGGTTAAGTAATCTTATAGAGAACATGAACTGATAAGGATATAAAGGCATCTCAAGATGATAAGACAAAGTTCATGTAAAGTAAAGACAACAGCTTTATCAAGCTGGATGTGTTCTTAATCTTTTCCAGTTGTACCCTGCTGCAGGCTGGTCGGTTCTTCTTCAACAGTTGGCGGACACTCTGTTGCCATTGTACAATGCAGGCCCCTCGCTAGACCTTGAAAAGAGGGGTTCGTTTTTCTCACCAATCTTAATTATGCCGTTTCTTGAAAAACCAAAATAGTAATAAACATTATTCTTCGCTCGAACCATTGAACCACTCCTAGCGACGGGACCTGCAATGAATTAGCTCTCGATTTGCTCCCCTGCGTCAGCGAACGTTTATCAAGTATTTTTTAAATGAGTAAAACAGAAGATGAATTGCCATAACTGGAAAGATAATGTTGAAGTTATGAAAACTGTTTTACCACGTAAACTATGGATATGGCGTTTTAAGGAGATAAGTTCAATTGCGAAGTAATGATTGTTGAAAAGCTGCGCGAATTTTATAAGAAAAACCTTTGCTAAAGGCAAGACTCCAACAAACCCTTCATAATTAGTTCAAAAGCTGCGAAGTAATAACATTTGAAAAGTGTGAATTTTGTATTTAAAAAAAACTTCGCGACGCTTTAGCTTACTTTCTACAAACTTCACAGGTTTACTAATTTTTACTCTTTCCCATCTATATGGTAGTTATTCTTTTGTTCTGTGGGTTTTTGAATTACATGAAGAAAGCTCGTTGAAAAACTTCCAGTTCAATTCTTTATTCGTACAATCGATAAACACGCCCTACAAGGCACTAATGTCAGGCCCCTGCTTTTGACCCGGCCGCGTGATGATACCATTAGCGGCAGCGAGGGAGACTCTAGGCATTAAGAGGTTAAATGTTGCAATACGATAAAAGAAGCTACCAGAAGCAGGATTTATGGTCTTCAAATATTTTGAGGTATTGAGATATCGCTGATCAACTGAGATATGAAGATAAAAGTGATTAATCCCGCTTGACAATTCGATATTGACCCAAAACAGCATAGGCAGAGCCTGATTTTGGTTTCGAAGCAAAAACGGCCGTGACTCCTTAGTTGAGGCAACTAAAAAAATTGTAATACTAATCGTTTTCTAAAATCAATGTAGATCTATATGTTATAGTTTGTTTGTTCGTCTATCCGTCTGTTTGTTTTCGCTTGCTATAGTCTTCCCCTTCCTTCCCTGCAGCAATTGTACAAAAAAAAAAATTGTAGAAATGTACTAGTCATAATTTGAGATACGGGTGGCATCCTTTATTTCAAGTGGAAACAGTGAGCTATTGAAAGACATCTTAAAAATAGAGCGCAGAAAGACTTTTTCAGATCGATCTCAGACTTGTTCTCAGTTCACTCGTTAGAATGGCATTTTTTTAATGCACATCTGACCTGTGCGAAGCGGGGATAGATCGAATATCACTGAAGGTAATTCAGTCCCCATTACATTTTTTATGATGAAAAAGGTTCAATCTTATTTACTCAAAAATAAAAGCTTCGCTTGATACGATACGATAATATACGATGATTTGAATAATTAGACCTAACATTCATTAACACACCATTCGCCGACAGGGCCAAAAACAAACCTCCAGCATTTTTTTTTTTTTTTTTCAGTAACCTTCAAGACTATGTACTTATTGACTGAGTTAGGTCGGGCCGTACGGGAAAATATTTGGCTCGAGGTCATGTCGTACGGACCAAGCGCAGCGAGGTCCGTACAAATGACCGAGAGCCAAATATTTTCCCGTACGGCCCGACCTAACTCAGTCAATAAGCATTTTATCATATGACCCTCACGAAATAAAAATAATTAAAAAAAAGAAAGCGCGCGGATTCGAGCAGGGCCGGACTGGTTTTTCCGGCCCGCTTACGTCAACCCGTCCGGCCCCCATCACGTGACTTTTTCCAATGGTTTTATTAGAGCGCGCGAGCAGGGCCGTACGGGTCATATGATAAATAAGCGTATTTTCTACAATTTTGAGCTGATTTTGTAATGTTTTCGAAACCATAGGCATTTTGTACGTACACAACAAGCTACCACCTCTGACAGTCACCATAACGGCTCGAAGGAAGACTGGTAATCATCTCGTGGTGCAAAGGATTGTGGGATCGAATTTAAAGACAAGATAGAAGATTAGAAAGCTCCGACTTAGCAAACTTTAAATATTCGACCACCACTCCCCATTCTAAGTTAGACCTTTATCTTGATTTGGATTCCGATAATGATTGCGTCTACTAAGTTGAGTAGTTGGGACTGCGTGGGCGTGTTGGATAATAGAGCAGTTTTGGCATGACTTTGAAAGCTCAGTGCTCTAGAGCAGTTTTCGCATGACTGTGAAAAGCTCAGTGCCGTAAGCGTGACGTGCCGTGACCGTGATGCATTCTAGAATTTTAATTGGCTGATTTTTTCACGCGCAATGTGATTGGTCTGCCATTGCCGTGACCTTGGCGTGACCGTTTTCGCGCCATGTTTACGCCGTGTTCCGGGTATTTGAGTGGATGGAGAGTAAATTCTCTTGAAATGTGATTGGTCTGGCGTATCCCTTGCCGTGTCACGACCGTGTTCGTGCCGGTGTTCACGGTCATACGAGAACTACACTAAGCTTGCCGTGCCGTGACCATAATGTTTTCTAGAATTTTATTTCTCTGATTATTTTTCTCGCGTGGTTGAACGCGATTGGTCTGACAGTGCCGTGGCCTGGGCGTGGCCATGTCCGTGCCGTGTTCGGGTATTTGATTGGATGGAGAAAATAGATTATCAAGCAATGTGATTGGTCTGGCGTATGACTTGGCGTTTCACGACCGTGAGCTTTTTACAATCATACGAAAACTGCTCAATAATAAGTAAATAACTGAGAAGGAAGTATCCGAACGTAAAAGTAAGTTTATGACTGTATTTAATATTGCGACGTTGAATGAAAATTAATGTCCACGCTGGTAGAAAGTATTAGCATCGATATGGATCAGCTCTATTGACTGACTCTGACTGATGACAAAAAGCTAAAAGGAAGTTTTACAAATTTTATGTATACCCAGCTGTTTCAGTCATTGACGACCCTCTAAAATCTGTCATCTGTCGCTTCTCTCTTCAAATCGAGAGCAAAGGATATTTTTATACTCTCTCGTCATCCAGGGAGCTGCTCTCAGCTCAGCTGTGATTGAAAGATAAGTGGATATACGGATATACCACCAAAGTACCGCCATYTAGTCCTAAACTATCCTCCTATCATGCATGTGTGGCCAGATCTCTAGAAATAAAACCTCTGGCATTGTATATCAATCGCAAGCCTTGGCGCTATGAGCAACAGCAATGTAACTGATTTCGCTGCATGTCCTGTTAGATCGAGTTAGCAGTTGATCCACAATTTATTGCGAATGAAAATAACATATCTAACATCAGCTTCATATACTAAGCTAGTAAATACTCTAGAAGGTCTTTTTTGCCATTTTTTTTAGTTTTGTGTGTGTGTGTGTGTGTGTGTGTGTGT